AAAAACGGAGGCCATACTTCGACAGCGTTAGCTAGGTGTCAAAACGTTTTGTAGATGATATAAAGTTATGAACAGTTTGAAAGATATACAGATTTGTTTCTAAAGATAATTTTGGATTGCCGTTAAGAAGTGTTAATATGCAACGTAAATGAATAGGGAGAAGATTAATTGTATTGTTTCGTTGTTTTGAAAAGTTGCGACAGTAGAGAAGAAAGTGTTCAGAATTTTCAAAGGTGTGGCCGCATGAACAGGATGGATTGTCGGATATGTGCATTAAGAATTTGTGAGCGTTTAGTTGACTTTTATAATGACGTAGTTTGGTATGTATTATTTGTGATGGACGGTCGCCAGAGTAGAAATATAATGGTACAGAGGATTTTGAGGTGAATTTTACAAGCAGGGATTTAAGCTGAGAGAGGGAAGAAGAATTACGTATTGAGTCGGGCAGATTGTTCCAGATTTGTACAGTAGATGGGAGAAAAGATGATTTGTAAGCTACAGTGTTCCTGTGTTTATTTCATTGACACAAATTCCAAGTCAAGATTTCATTCTGAAAGATAAGAACCTTATCATTATATACTAATTTCACATGCTCAGAAAATCAAGGTTAAATAGATTTGAAAGTTACAAAAAGAAAAAATGAGTTTCTTGACAACTGTAAATATAACTGTGTAAAATTAATTTTTAATGCAGAAAATTATCACTTTTCCTTCAGAATGTAATCTTTCAATATTGAAAATACCAGTTATAATTAGGGCTTCAACGATTCTTAAAGTTATTATTCGATACACTGTATAATACTCATCCAACGATATTATTTATTGCAATAATTATTGCGATTTGTTTTTCAGAGAAGGGAGGGGGAAAAATAGTAGAAATTTGTTAAATACAAGTTTGTCACGATTAAGCAAATGATAACATTTAGAAATAAGGAATTGTGAAAAATATATCAATTTCAAAGTCAGAAATGAATTTTTGCAAATTTTTATGTGAAAATCATACTTGGAAAATAAAAACATGACACAATTTCTCATACACTCAAGGATTCTGTGTTATTTGTTATTAAAGGGGACTAAGAATTAATCGTGCCAATACATCACAATCATTTTTATCCAACGCAATTCGTCGACAAGAAGGAAAGAATCCCGGTTCATCGATTCATTGTGAATAGTTTCTGCCCTAGTAACAATATATAGAAAAAAACTAAATCAGTACTAAACCTCATAATATATGTATCACACATCTTTCTTGTCCAAAAACAAGTTGGTTACTAACTCCAGTACTGTTAAACTGTCAACTGGCCTTGATAGACAACTGACTGAAGATAAGTAACTTCTCCACGAAGAGGTTGAGTCAAGACAAAACTTGATAGGAAGGGTTAATCAGGTCTATTATTAACCCTCTAGTCTCTGATTAGATATATATCCTAATCATTTAGTATTGTCAACTATTGTTAATGTTTTTATAAACCTACTGATCACATAGTTTAAATATAACACTTATTATAATAACAAATCAACCTGTGAAAATATTTCAACTGATATTAATTATTTCTAAATGACATTTACAAGTAGATATAATATTAAATAAATAAAAACACTATTATAGATATACTACTCCTTTCTTTAATTCAAGCAACGTTTCAATTAAAGGAAGAAGTAGTATATCAATAATAGTTTTCTTATTTATTTAATGTTATTAATCATGAAATGTAATGGAGTCTGACATCTTATTTTTCTACTCTAATTAGGCTAATGACTTATTAATAACTACTGATCACAGAGTTGAAATATAATAAGAAATCAACCTGTAAAAATATAATAAGAAATCAACCTGTAAAAATATAATAAGAAATCAACCTGTAAAAATATAATAAACTTATCAACCTGTAAAAATATAATAAGAAATCAACCTGTGAAAATATAATAATAAATCAACCTGTAAAAATATAATAAGAAATCAACCTGTAAAAATATAATAAGAAATCAACCTGTAAAAATATAATAAACTTATCAACCTGTAAAAATATAATAAGAAATCAACCTGTAAAAATATAATAAGAAATCAACCTGTGAAAATATAATAATAAATCAACCTGTAAAAATATAATAAGAAATCAACCTGTAAAAATATAATAAGAAATCAACCTGTAAAAATATAATAATAAATCAACCTGTAAAAATATAATAAGAAATCAACCTGTAAAAATATAATAAGAAATCAACCTGTGAAAATATAATAATAAATCAACCTGTAAAAATATAATAAGAAATCAACCTGTAAAAATATAATAAGAAATCAACCTGTGAAAATATAATAATAAATCAACCTGTAAAAATATAATAAGAAATCAACCTGTAAAAATATAATAAGAAATCAACCTGTAAAAATATAATAATAAATCAACCTGTAAAAATATAATAACAAATCAACCTGTAAAAATATAATAAGAAATCAACCTGTAAAAATATAATAACAAATCAACCTGTAAAAATATAATAATAAATCAACCTGTAAAATTATAATAAGAAATCAACCTGTAAAAATATAATAATAAATCAACCTGTAAAAATATAATAACAAATCAACCTGTAAAAATATAATAATAAATCAACCTGTAAAAATATAATAATAAATCAACCTGTAAAAATATAATAAGAAATCAACCTGTAAAAATATAATAACAAATCAACCTGTAAAAATATAATAAGAAATCAACCTGTAAAAATATAATAACAAATCAACCTGTAAAAATATAATAATAAATCAACCTGTAAAAATATAATAAGAAATCAACCTGTAAAAATATAATAATAAATCAACCTGTAAAAATATAATAATAAATCAACCTGTAAAAATATAATAAGAAATCAACCTGTAAAAATATAATAATAAATCAACCTGTAAAAATATAATAATAAATCAACCTGTAAAAATATAATAATAAATCAACCTGTAAAAATATAATAAGAAATCAACCTGTAAAAATATAATAATAAATCAACCTGTAAAAATATAATAATAAATCAACCTGTAAAAATATAATAAACTTATCATGTTGATTATGAAGTGAAATGCAATGTAAAATATTGGGGTTTTAAGAAATTTTTTAAGAAAAATAACTTATTATAAATAAGCCTGTAAGCACAAATATTCAGTGATCTTGGAAACTAACGGGCTGCTCCTAATTAGGCTAATAACATAAACACTATTGATCACAGAGTTTAAATATAATCACCAGTGATAATATAAGCAATTTGTATTAATTATTGATATCAATATTCAATGATATTGATGATATGATAATAGCTGTTAATATCATTAAGGTATTTGAATTTGATTCTGGACACAGATCACTGACTAACGATATATTGTTACATTATTATTCAGTTTGACATGATAACCTTCAAAAATACAAAATTTAATAGACATAATATTATAATACTGTGAGGTTTTAGAAGTTGAGGTTTGAAAAAAAATGTTCTATACTTTTATCTGGCGCCATAAAAAAAAAAAATTTGGTCCCCACAATGAAATGGACCTGGAATCGTTGCCTTGTCAAAATGGCATCTGCTTCATCTCTCACTGACAAATATTACTGTTGTCCTTAGCTACTATTGCAGGAATCACAGGAACCCTTTTAACCTTCAGTGAATAAAATATCAATCAATATTATTCCAATATGTATATGTATTTTATACTGGTTGTCTATCTAAACAGTCCAATTTCTGAGTTCAAAAGGATTGTAAAGAGGTTTTCTTCATTTTGTATGTGTATCGGCGAAACTGATAGCATCAATTTCCATCATTCCAATTTTCAATCAGACGTCTGTGGTTCCTGCAATTCTACTAAAACTAAGTATTTGTTGACGTTACTACCGGTAATTGTAAAATATGCATGTATCACAATCCATTTAATATCCTTATTTCCTTATCAACAATACGCAGGTGTACTTTTAACATCTTCTTAAAATTTCTCATTAAATTTAATCTAGATATCTAATGGCTTGTTATATCATTTGTAAACAAACCATTTCAACACTTGACAATATACCTCATTCATTTATTATAAATAATCACAGTATTACAATTGAGGTGTTGAGAACTACTATATTAACAGTGAAAATATATTATAATATATGATTCTATTCAATTCACTGAATAACATACACAGGAACAGAACCACGTTCTCAAAATATCATAGATTAATGTACAAGCGTAAACATGATAACATCGAACGTTTTTCTTCACTTAACGTGCAAGTTTAATTGTACAAATTTTTAGA